AGCATGTCCCATCCCTCTGCCTCCCAAGGCTGAGAGGGAAGCAGAGAGGAAAGGGATGGGATGGGACGGCACATGGTGCTCAGTCTGGGCACCTGCCAGACCTCTGGGGACATCCCTGTTCTCTGCTCCTCCTTACCCGGATATGCTGAAGCAGTAGGCAGCCGTGAGCACCCACCGGGGGTGGATGAGTGATCCTGCACAGATGTGCCATGTACCATTCTTCAAGGTGACCTGGATGCTGGCGATCCCAGGCCAGGCCCCTGGCTGGACACCTGTGCCACCCACAACACGTGCTCTGCCGGTGGCAGAACCCTCTTGGCTATAGCCATCTGCTGTGGAGTTGTAGCCAGGAGCCAGGGAGCTGGAGTCCACAGCCATGGGCCGGAGCCCGCAGGTCTCTCTGGAAGAACAAAGCCATCACTGCCCTGCTCGGGGGCTGCTGCTGCTTCGAATGAAGCTCATCCCTCATCCCTCTCATGTTAGGGACAGGGAGCTCTGTGGGGCACATCTCTCTGCCCTGTTTCTGCCTGAGAACCCCCTAAGAGTTCCCCATATCCCACCCACAGCCTGGGGGCATTTACCCACAGATGTCCCAGGTGCTGCTCGCAGGCATGGCCAGGGCCAGCAGGAGGACAAGGAGCTGCAGCAATGCCATTGCTGCCAGCACAGCAATCAGAGAGCAGAGCTGAGGTGTCACCTGCAACACAACTGCTGATGCAGTGCCTACGCTGCCCTGGGGGGGTGATGTCACAGAGGGAAAAGGGAGAGAAGAAGTGGAGGGGGAGGGGGGAGGGGCAACATGGAATCATAGAGCCATGGAAAGGTTTAGGTTGGAAGAAACCATGAAGACCACCTAGTGCCACTCCCTGCAAAGGGCAGGGACACCTTCTACTCACCCAGGTGGCTCCAAGCCCTATCCAATCTGGCCTGGAACACTCCCAGGGATGGAACAGCCACAGCTGCTCTGGGCAACCTGTGTCAGTGCCTCAGCACCTCTGGGGAGTTCCATCAGGAGAGGGTGCTGGATCAGACTCCTCTGACAGACCTGTCTGGATGCTCAGCTGGTGGATGAGGGTGTGCAGCCTTGGGGCAGCAGCAGCACCAGCCTCCCAGCAAGGCCTGGTCCCAGACCCCAGGGAACCCCCCGAGGGGCATACC